AGAAGAAATAAAAGGAAAAAAACCAAAATACTCACACAGACATGCAAATTTTTACTATGAAAAATTACACATATCCTTATAAAAATTAATTTTGAAATCATTCGCATACTCCTCTTTAGTTTATTACCAAAATGTTATATCAACTTTTACGAGATTATACTGATATATGTGTGCTATTGTATTGTATATATCAAAAATTATTTTAATACAATACTTTTTAGGCTTTTATGGCTGTTATCTTTGAAGATACAAGAGGGTTTACGAGTTATCTCTATGTTTTTTGTTCATTACTAATGTCGTGAAACTTACCACTCACTTCATCAGATACATATCAGTGCGCTCCTCGCCTTGATGAAGTAAACGGTAAAGTTTCATGAAACGTTGGCATTAGTAATGGACAAAAACACAGGGGTAACCCGTAAATCTTCTGCTGTATTTTAATATAAATCAAATAACTTAATTATATAACAATATTGATAACAATATTAATAGCAAAAGAGAAACTTACAATAATTCGATATAAGAAAAAGACAAAATTATGTATACGCTTCATTTATCAAACGTGATTCTCGTAAAACAATAAGGTTTTTTCCAAATAAATCAAAATTATCAAATTCTTCTTCAACAGCTACAGCATCTTGTACAGTTTTGAAATAAATGTGACAATATCGTATATTAGTTTTGGAAATTGTCTTAACAACCGTTGCTGAAACTGGACTAAATTTCTCAAATAAATGTAAAATGTAATGCACGCCATAATTTTGATGAATATTAGCAACAATTATATCTTGCATTGGGATGTACGCAATTTTAGATGAATTTGTAGTCTTGTTTAATGTGGGTGTCACATCAAATTCTTTTGACTTCATTTCTGCATTAGAAACTAACATTGGCATTTTCTGATCATGTATGCCGAATCGCCTATTTTTATCGATTTTGCTATCTGTCTCAGTCTTCATTAAAGAATATAATTTAGTATCTTCTTGCTTTTTTCTCATTACTTGATTATAATCTTCATTATTAATGGGATTTTGTTGTTCTGAAAATGAATATATTTCATCAAATGTTTGAAAACCCGCATTATTCTGTTTAATTTCATCTACATTATATTTATAGTCATGCCCTGAATTGCGAGCAGTATCTAAAAAATTATTTCCTTGGAATTTATTTGAATCAAAATTTCTTGAACTGTAAAATGGTTTGCCTCTATATTCCGATAATTTTTCCTGTTTATTATTCTCATGAGTAGAGTTTGAATCAAATTGTTCATCAGTACTAAACATCTGTTGTGAAGTATCTTCCATCTTTGCTGCCTGCCATTGATTCGAACTGTTTTGATTAGTTGCTTTTGCTTCGCTTCCCAATTTATCTTTTTGTGGTAACAACGATATCTGGCTATCATTTTGAAGACCTTTTAAACAATTTATTACTTCATCTAATGTTTTATAACTTATGATTTTCAATCCATTGGGACCGCCTCCTCCTTCATATATGGATACAACAGTGCCATAAGATGAAAATGTATCTTTTATATATTCTGGACATAATCCTTTCTTATTTGCAAAATGTACACTAAAACCTCCTTTTGTTGTCCTATAGTACTTTTCATAATCCATTGTAACTGAAGAGTTATTCTCCTTGGAAGTTTGTCTCAAAGATTTTTCATCAAATACTGATGAATTTTCTTTAGTTACATTTGAAATCAATTTATGATTATATACAGAATTTTGAGAAATATTTTGAGAAATATTTAAAATGTCATTAGATCCACTATTCTCATTGAAAATTTTATGAGTGCTGTTTCCTCCATTGTTTGACAAGTTTTCACCATTGAAATCTTTTCTATTCATCTTTCTATCCTTCATTTTACTTCTTTCTAGCAGTAACTGTATCTTACTACTATCTTCTAAACCTTTTATACAAGCTATTGTTTCATCTAAAGTTCCATACTTAACAAATCTAAATCCAGTTTCATCCTTAGTAACATTTACACCTAAAACATTTCCAAAAACTGAAAATATTTGCTTTATCTCATATACAGTGAGCTTGTCCTTGTTTAAAAAATGTAGATTGTAAACCCCTTCTGGGTCTTCTTTAATGTATTTATCAAAATCCATGATATCAAATAACAGATTTATTAATTATGCTTCTTCAGAACTCTTAGTTCTAAGATTAAGTTAAAGTTAGATTGAGTGATTAAACAACATAAATTATAAGTAAATCCATTCAAATTCAAATTGGCTAAATTTTCAGTCTTTTAATACTTGGTGTATAGTTACGTCTTGTATAGTTTTTCATCTAAAATCATTTTAATAAAATTAGCATTAAGACATTTTTTCTTTTATTTTATTATAACCCTGGTAAAAATTTTTCTCAGAATTTTTCATATAATGTTTCAGAATTTCTATATAATTTTTTGGAATTTCTAATTATAATTTTATATTATAGCTTTCTCACATTTTTTATTGGAAAATTCTGAAAAAAGATATAGATTTTCAGAGAAACGTTTCAATTCCTATAAAAATTATAAGAGAAATTTTTTCACCAAGGAATAGAGCCTCTTTTTATCTTATTATCTAATAAATAAATTATTCTTACCTGATGTTACAAAATATAGTTTTGTTTTTCATAAACAATACTAGTAGCAATGTTTCTGGCATATGAGACAAGCAGGATCCACAGGACAACGTGCAAAAACTATTCCAAATTATTATTTGCTAAACAAACATGTGCTGCAGTGTACCTAATCAGAAATTTTGCCAGTTAGAAATTATTATATATTTGAGACGAGATCTTTTCTGTTGTTTTATACCATCATAATATGTATGTAAAGACTTTATTCCCACAAATATCGATAATCGAGAAGATTATATGTTTAGTTAACAATCAATTACACAAAAAATTGTGCTAGACCGACTGTTCCTTCTTCTTTCCCCCCAAAAAATGGCCCGGTTTCGATCATCAGGTCAACAGGTAAATCAGGATCAACAATAGACCGACTAGAAGTTTCGAGTAATCACCAATCATCGACAATCATAGATCTAGAACAATCTAAGTGAAGTTGTATAGATCCTTTCTTGACGAAAAGACAGGTAAGGCCTTTGACTATATAAGTATGACTTGCCAGTAAGGTGCATATCCTGCAATCAATCGAAAGTGTTCCCAAATGTAATGATTTATGGTTAATCACAATGCGCGAAATTCAAATCGACTATCTGAACCACACATATCACTGATGAGATGCTATTAAAAACCGTCAACATTGGGCAAATTTTCAGCGGTATCAAAAGGGCCCCAAGGACCTGGAGATAATTGAATGCTGACATTATCGACAATTGATATAAATTTGCTATTATTAACATAAATATTTGGCTCATACATATTAAATTCATGATTTTTTATTACATAAAAATAAATATCTATACTTGTAAAGCTATAATATCCTATATATTGCAGAAAAATTACAATTTTTTCTCTGCAGTTATCATCTCTGTTGATAATCAAACTTTGACGATAACACTGACATTACAATTTTAAAGAAAAATCGAGTATTGTTGAGTTCTAAATACATAAATACGTTTACTGAACTAATAAATCATAAAATTAGTACAATATTATCAGTTTTTAACTCTTAATTACTTCAATATTCACAAGGACGCGAATTCTTTTAAGAATGTCGGTCTTTAATAGTATCTCGTCGATGACCATAATAATAACTTGTTTATTTAACGTAGATATTGTCATAATCTATTGATTAAGCCTTTTTAATTCAGTTGGAAAGCTATAAATTATATTTATATTAACAGTTTATTGATTTTCATGTATCATTGTTTAATATTTTATTAAGGAATCTGGAAAAGTTCCTTGGAAGGTTAAAAAATCAACAATTTTTTGTGAATTTTTTCTGAAAAAAAAACAGTTATAGCTATCAATTTTAGATTTAGACCTATAAAAATTCATACATATTGTACACAGCGCAAATAAAATTGGTCCGAACCTAAGGGAAAAAAATCTCATATATAATTATATATAATTATATTTAAAAAATGACATATTTTATATACTATTATATATAATTGTATATAAAATATATCCATATATAAAACATTTTTTCTGGGTATATGTAA